TATATATATATATATATCTATATATATATATATATATATATATATATATATATATATATATATATATATATATATATATATATATATATATATCGCCTAAATTCATGTGCCTTTATGTGAGCTCTCTGCTATTTGCTGTGTGTTGCAGCCTTGTATTCCAGGCCTGATCAGTTCAGAGGACAGAGTGGATTGCCGGCTGTGTCCTGCAGGCTTTTCATGTGACGTCACCAATGGAACACTTTATTTATGCCCAGCAGGACAACATTCACCCGAAGGGGTCCTACAGTGTCTGACCTGCCCTTTTGATTCTGTTTGCAAGTTTGGGCTTCCTTATAAGGTCACCATCAACCATTAAAGACGTGAAAAGAATTGAAAACCCTTTTACTCGCTCGCTGCACAAAAAGAAAATTTACTTGTTTTTTTAACGGTTTTTATGTGCTCACAGTGTGCACCTGGAAAGGAGCCCGACGTGGACCACACCGAATGTATTGACTGTTTCCCGGGTTTTTACTCCACTGTTTGTACGGCTCTGTGTCTACAGTGTCCCGCAGGTAGTGCTTCCAGAACATATTACTTCTCTTTAGCTGTTGCGTCTGTTCTATTTGATAGTTGAATGGCATAAATGTGTGCCAGAATACCAAAGATTGTGCCTTATGGCTGTAGGAAATTACTGTCCAGACAGTGGGATGTCACAGCCGCTTCCCTGTCCTGCTGGTTGGACCTCCACACCTGGACAGACTTCCTGCCGTAGGTGTAATGATACATCCTTGCTGTGTGGGGGCGCTGTGGCTCCCCGCTGGAGCCAGTTTGTGCACAGATCTGGTCAAGCCAACACCTGTAGAGCGGGAACCTACAAACCTGTAAAAGAAGATGGAGATTGTATTGCCTGTCCAAAAGGTTAGTGTTAAATATTGCTTTAAGATTTTTGTAGTTTTTTTTATTTATTTTTGCTTCTAGAAAGAAACCAAATATGAGTCATTTATCTCGTTGTTAGGTCATTATTGTGTGGGAGGTGTGGCTTTACCCTGTCCTGCAGGGAGTTATGGTCCTAAAGAAGGTCTGCAGAGACTGAAAGACTGTGCAATCTGCCCTGCCGGTACAGCAAGCTCTCTAAATGTTTTCAAGTCCAGAGATTTGCACAAAATCTGTGGGCAGTTCCTCAAGCCGAAGGAACTAAGTGTTTTCCATCTTTAGAAGTATCATCTTTCCATACAGGCTGTGTCCTTTACAAAATGTTCTTCTAATCTATAAATACTTTTCTCAAGGGTTTTACTGTCTGGAAGGGAGCTCACAGAGACCCACCTCCCAGTTCATGTGCCCACAGGGCTATTACTGTGAAGAGGGCACCGCCACCCCTCATGGGTCACCTTGTCCTGCTGGTACATCAGGGGAACAACTGGGTCAGACAAGTAGGGCAGCCTGTAAAAGATGCAAAGAGGGACGCTTCTGTCCCGCAGGTTAGTCTTTGTTCTGATAAAACTCACTTCACTGGAGCAACAGGTACTGAAATACAAATAAAATATGTCCCAGAAAGTAAATGTTTCTCACTTGAAGAAGAAAAAAAAAACAACCACACACACTCCCACACACACACAGGTAGTTAAAATGTATCACCAACAGACATTGTGAACAGAGTTCATTTTTTAAAATGTGCTGTACTTGCGAAAGACTTCCTCAGAGTTCAGTGAGGTTCTTGCAAACGTTTCATGCTTCGTGTTTGACCTTAAACAGGGTCTTCAGGTGCAGGTTTGCCCTGTGCTAGAGGAAGGTTCTGTCCAGCTGGCACAGTGGAGGAAGTGACTTGTCCATCAGGCACCTTCACCCCTCACCAAGGAGCGATAAGTGAGTTTTCTACATGGGCATTTTCAGACAGAAGTGCAGACACCATAAGCGTGTCATGCTGATTTTGGACTTTATTTAAACCATGCTTCTTCACAATGTTGAAATAATGCACACAGGCTCAAATATTTTCATATAGACCTCATTTGATTGAGTAGTATGCTTTTTGAAGCTATCAATAAGATTGTGGCATTATTCTGGTTTGATGTTTAACCGTTGTTATGGCGATTTTTATGTTACAACCTTTCATTTCAGGGATGGTTAACAATTAAGAGCTGAGGTCTTAATTGTTAAGACCTCAGGAAGGTCTTTTGGGTTAGTTTCGGGACAGCTGGTTTGTCCCATAACCAACCTTAATAAGTGTTTTGGATCAAAATATAATTTGTTTCAACTCTTTCAGACTCTGACCTCAACATTGTTGACAATCTGTGGACTATTTTAAAATGAGAGTAACTACAATATTTAACCAAACTGATGGAGATTTTATGACAGCTGGACAACAGCTGTGGTAATAATACATCCTGTGGGGGTGTATGAAAAGATTTGAGTCAATAATTGTTCTGAACAACAATAGAAGAACATTTCACCCTAGAATAAAAACGTTATTATATAATAAAATAATTAAAAACTCCAAATTAATGAGGTATCCACGCACATTAGGATATGTAAACATCAGACCAGAATTGTTCATATATACATGTACTCGTTTTTGTTGGAAATTACATAAACAAGTGACACGTTGGCAAACCTTTTACTGCAAATGAAAAACTTCTTCCACTGTTGTTTGGTTTTTAGATGTCTATGTTTTGCTTACATTTAATTTAATTCCATCTTTGATTTCATTTTCTACAGTTTTGCAAACAATAATTCAATATTCTTATACTAGTCCAATCTTTTCGTGAGGTGAAAGGCTCACCGATTGCATAAATTACTCAGTTGCTAAAGGTTCCCCTGAGAAACCACAATATGTAGATGGAAAACCGCAATGGACAGATGCCAAAGAGGGCAAAAAGTAACAAACTGATTAAGAAGAAAAAAGCTAATGAGAAAAACTTATCATAACAAAGGAGGTTTATGTAACAGACCTACATTGACTTCAGTATTCGAACTTTTCCTTCCAGGTGTGAAGGATTGTCTTAAATGTCCGCCTGGTTTCTACTGTCCAAAGAGGACCAGCGACCCGATGCCCTGTCCAGCAGGGTTCTTCAACCCCTTAGAGGGGCAGGATGAGGTGGCCGATTGCAGAGAATGCTACCCGGGGAAGGCCTGTACACAGATAGCGCTAAAGGCTCCAGATGTAGACTGCATGCCTGGGTAAGCAGCCTGTTCAGAAACACGAAAATATTTCATCGAGAATGCTTCGGTATACTCCTGGTTGTGTTGCTTTAAGTATGATGAGAGAGCAGTTCTAAGGGATTTGTCTGCATAGGTTCGTGTGTCCTCCTGGCTCATCAAAACCCAACGCACCAGCCAACGCCTGCCCTCCGGGAGCGTTTAGCAATCGCATCAACCTTACTGACCGCTCACAGTGTCAGCTGTGCCCAGCACAATACGCCTGTCTGAGAGGTTACTTTTTCTTTAAAAGGACTTGCATGAGGAAAAAACAAGATCTTTTATTTTATGCCTTACATAGATTGGTGACATTCTAATTTACAGAGTGTTGCAAAGTATTCATGCTGCTTGAAATGTTCCACTTTTGTTACAAATGTCGATATATTTTCTTTTGATTTGATACATTATTGTGAAGCGTAAGAAACAGGATGTAAACATTTTACCCATAAAAGTCGTGGCAGTCATTAAAGTACAGCCACTTTAATTCTGGTTACTCCTAAACAAAATCTATCAAGGCCAATTTCAGAAGTTCACTAATTACGAAAAAAAGAAAATAACCTGTACCACCTGTAGGTAATTTGATTTCAGCATAAATTGAGTTGTTTAACAAAGAACTCAGAGGTTTGTTGGAGAACATTAGTAAATAACCAATATTATGGAGAACAATCCAAATGGAAATCTTTGGTAAGACCTGTTTGAATTGACTATAAGCCCATCAGTAAATGGGCCAACAATTTTGAGTCTAATTTTGAAAAGTTGGCAGAGATTTGCAAAAAGACTTGCAGTTTTGTTTGCAGGATTTTTGTGAAACATTTTAAAAACTAGATACTGCATCCTTCTTCACAGATATACATTATTTCGTGTTGTTTAAAAATATAAAATTGAAATTCAATAAATTATACAGAATTTCGTAGTTGTAATGTTACAAAATCTGAGAAAGTTTGAGGGGGTTCGAGGCACTGCAAACGCATCAACAGCAATATTTGAAGATTTAAGAATGGATTATTTATCTTTTCTGCATAACATCAAATTTTTCTTATTGTATTGGTGACTCTTATTTTTTCACCTCTGCTGTTTCAGGAACTGGTGGTATTCAAAGGCCGCCACTTCTTTGTTTCGCTGGACATTATTGTCCCCCTGGAACGATGTTTCCCACGCAGTACAAGTGTCCAGTGGGGACATGGAGCAGTCAGAGCGGGCTGGAGGCTGAAGCAGAGTGCCAGCCGTGCCCTCGAGGTTGGTACTGCCTGGCTGGGTCTGCAGCGCCATCAGGCCGATGCAACTCTGGACACTACTGTCCTGAAGGTAAAGATGTACAAGTTGAAGGCACGGGAAGAAAAGTATATAATTTTTTTTTTTTTGTCTGTCTGGCTCTGAAAGTTTTTAAGATTGTACGTAAAAGACAAACTTGCAAATTGTCGTTTAAATATCTCTACAACACGCTGCAAACGTTTCACTCGTGCTGTAGTCATGAGTCATTCATTCGGATGTAATTATGGGGATGTTGCTTTCTCAGGGACGGCATATGGCACCCAGCACCCTTGCCCTGCAGGAACCTACAGCATCCAAATGGGCAACAGATACAGGGAGGACTGCTTGACTTGTCCCGAAGGGTCATTCTGTCAGCTGGGGACCTCCAAACCCTCACCTTGCCCTCCGTGCGTAAACAGAACCTCAGAAATAAGATGTGTGCTTTTTTTGATAAGAGAATGAAGCAGGTGCAAAAACTGTGATTCAGTAACTGTGTCTGCCGTCACTCTCAGCTCCTCATTTCGCCGCCTGAAAGGAGGTCGAAGGCTGGAGGACTGCTCCCCTTGCCCTGCTGGCTATTTTTGTCCCTACTCAGCCACTATCAACCCGAGAGTCTGCGGAGCTGGCAGCTACTCTGTAAGACCCCATTAAACACAAGCCTGTGTGACTGTGCAACTGACTGCACCAGTGGAAACCAGCGCTGGTGTAGTCCCATCACTCTGGAAACGGTTTTGATTGTCCTATTTTTAGATTACATTTACCACCCACATTCATTCGCCTTATATTACTCACCTACTGTGTACATCTGTAAATGCCAGCAGGAGGGCTAGTATAGTGCTTTTGATATAATATATCGTCTTTTTTTTGTTTCCTCCCAATTTGAGCCTGTCTTAACGTTCCAGCATTTTCCAGAGTCAAATATTTCTTTTTCGCAAGTTGCCAGTGTGCGTTTCGCTGTCTCCCACCTCCATACCGGTTGATATCTTTAACTTCAACTCCCTGAATGTTTCTTCTCATTCTCTTGTGTGTAGGATGAGGGCTCTGTGGAGTGCTCTCCGTGCCTACAGGGGCATTACTGCAGTAACGAGACCACCAGCGAGGAGGCCATGCTGAGTGTCATGGTGTGCCCACCTGGTTTCCTCTGCTCTCAGGGTTTGGCCAGAGACCCTCAGAGATCAGCCACGCTCTGCCCTCGAGGTTTCTACTGTCCCGGAGGAGGCATTGTGAGTCTTGGAGTAGGGAAACGGGATGACTGTAGCGAATATAAATAAAAGCACACCGCATCTTGAATTAATCCGCTTGCAAATTTAAACGCACAGGACCCAAACCCCATTCCATGCCCCAACGGGACGTACAGTTCGTCTCCTGGTCTGCGTGACGTGTCTCAGTGTGTCCAGTGTCCCGAGGGGAAGTATTGTTACACCCAGCAGCCTCAGGAGCAGCCTATCACCAGGCCTGTAAGAAAAGAACTGAATTTAAGATGAAACGCTTTATTCACTTTACAAGCTGCCACACAGACGAGGGCAAATTTGTTGGCTTTACTGGCAAAGGTGTGTGAAATAAAAAAAAAATAGAATATTTGATTGCAGAAGCATGATCTCACGCAGAATTGAAAAATCCTTTAAAAAATTTATTCCAATACAGGAGGGGGGGGGAGAATTAAAAGTGAAGAAAAAATATTAACAGAGTCACCAATGGTACATCTGCTGGTAAACCAAACAATCCCTTTCAAGTAAAACATAAGCTTCTGCACTCCTCTAATTAGTATTCACTGATGTATAAAAGTGACACAGTGGCCCATTTTAACAGATGGAATAAAACAAGAAAACAGGTGTTTTGTGAAGAGGATGGTAAGAGACATAAAGCAGAACCTCTATCTGTTGGAAAAGTACAGCAAAAAGAGGAGTCCTTGGGTCACTGATTCTGCCATTTCCAGGGTTATGTAAAAAGATGTGTAGGGTGAGCAGAAGAGAAGAAAGCTCTAGAGAGGATCCAGTACTCTGCACAGTTTAGAGCTGTGATGCTCAAACTTTTAAAACCATTTACTGAGAGTCAGTTTTTGTGACTTCTTTTTTATCTTGCCAACAATGATCTAAAAGTACACTATTTTAATGAAACAAAGTTGTCTGATAGGGGATCTGTAGGTCATTTGCCTCACAAAAAAAAGCTCTGCTTTTTTGTAGTTTGCACCTTTCCAGAATTGTGGTAGTGGGCCAGACAGAATCCTTCTAGTGGCTGCAAACAGGCCAGGGGGCCACCCTTTGGAAACCCATGATTTATGGAGATTGAGCATAGAGGAATAGTGAAAGACACCCTAATTTTAATCAGCAAGTGCACATAAATTAAATTTGGTTGGTAATTCTTTTCAGTGTGGAGTTATACCACTATGACAAAATATGTAATTTTTTTCCTTAAAGTTGCAATAAGTAACCTTTATATAAATATGTGTTTGTGTATTTCTTTTTTTTTATTTTTACATATTTGTTAAAACTATTAGTATGTCCTGACTCAATGACAGTAGAATATTAGATAGATGTGGAAAAAGATCAGGCTTCTCTGGCTCCCTCCAGTGGTCCTACTGCTATCTGCAGAAATGCCCTGCGCTTGATCAGAAACAACCAATCAAAGCCAGGAGGAAGGACTTAGCACTCACGCTCTTCCATCCTCTGCCCCATAGTTCATTCTGCATGTTTTAATGGCGGAGAAACAAGCTTACTTCACAGGAAAACATTTTTTCCAACATTTTTTCCAGGCTCCACTGCGAGAGAGTTGAATTTTCAGGGTTTACTGACAACTCCCTAGTAGTGCAACTTTAAGGTTTTTTGTAAAAAAAAAATTTTTTACCAGCAATGCCAGTAAATCAATCAAGGTTTATAGTGACTTGTTCATTTATAAGGTTTTTAAAATCTTTATTTGTATTTCACTGTGAATGTTTTGTGTGTATTCTCATACTAAAGACAGAGCCATGTCCTGATGGGCACTATTGCCCCCCAGGGACCGGCCACCCCTACACGTACCCCTGTCAGGTTGGCAAGTTCAGGAACAACACGCATGGTCACACTGGAGAAGTCTGCATTTCATGTCCATCCGGGCATTTCTGCAGCCAACTGGGAATGGATCTGCCTTTACTCTGCCCTCAGGTGGGACCTGAAGGGATCCACAATTAGTTGAACGTGTTGGCCTAAATATGTTGTAATTTTCCAATTAACTGAAACAATGCTGTTTCTGACGCATCAAAACTCATAATTCAAAACAATTCATATCTTTTGGTATGTTTTTCCTCAATGGAGGTCGCCATTTTTTCACCTGCGCAATGCATGCTGGGTTGATGACGCGTTTCAGCCCGTTCTGTAATGGAATCTACACAGTAAACACAGGAAGGCTAACTTTATCTGAGTTTATCATGTTTTTGACTGGTGTAAATTTAGACAATGCCACACTGTGTCGCTGTTGACTGTAATTAAAAAAAAATAAAAAAATAAATAAAATAATGAGGTGAGTCTGCGTCGCTTCCCACATGAAAAAAAAAACAGCTTGGTGGAAAACAGCCAAACAGTATCAATATTTCTCTCCAGAAGACTTTTAGTCGAGCAAAACTAATAAAAGACCTAACAGGTGGTCGTTATTTTTGCAAGCTAAAACCAAATGCCGTATCGACAAAGCACCTAAACCGCCTTGCCAGCTAGTGAGCGAAAGACGGTGGGAGAGACATCAGAGACAGGAAACACTGGAAGCTCTATTTTAAACAGAGCTTTTGCTACAGCTCTGGTACTGAATGTGAAACCAGGAACCCAACAGCGCACCGAAAACTGAATCCTAAACAGATTTTACCGGACCGGACACAAAGCTACTTACCGGATCACACAGTCCGACCAGAGGTATGCGTCACTTGTTTCACTTATGAAGCTTGCGTAATCGGACCAAGTGTACGTCATTTACCGAGCCTACAGTATTATTATTGTATTCTTTTTACATCTAAAATAAATATTGTTACAACTAATCATGGATCCCTTTAAAACAAATCCACTCGTTTCTCTTTAAAGACATAAATTGCAGATTCCTAAATTGCTCTCAGATTACATAAAAACGCAATCAACATAATATGTCATCTCATCCATTACTCATTTCAGGGGTCTTACTGTCCAGACGGCACCTCTACTCCTAAGCCTTGTCCCGAGGGAACCTACAGCTCGCACTCTGCTCTCAGTGAGCTCTCACAGTGTGCCCCTTGTGGCGGTGGACAGTATTGCAGCGGTGTTGGACTGACAAAGCCTTCTGGAAGCTGCAAAGAACGTTTCTACTGCAGAGTGGGAGCTAAATCTGCAGTACGATTCTGTTATTGCTGTGAAAGTAGCAGCAGTGCCTAAATGTTTTACTTCACATATATTAGGAAATCTTTTTTTTTTTTTCCAGAGTCACTTTCAGAGCCAGAGGATTTTTGCTTCTTTTCACATGTAGTGCTCTGTTTGTTTATGTCCAGACTCCAGCTGATGGGCCAACAGGAGGTTTATGTCCCCCTGGAGGCTACTGTCCTCTGGCTTCAACCTCTCCCATCCCCTGTCCGTCTGGCACTTTCAGCAACAGCTCTGGCCTCAGCAGCCCTGAGGAGTGTGTTAGCTGTCCCCCTGGGTAATTCAACTCAAACTAAATCGCCATTTTTGAGAGCAAATACATTATTTCCATGTACAACCACATTCTCACTCTCCCTATCTCAGTTTTTATTGTTTAGGCTCCAACAATACCTCACCTTCAGGACGTTGTTTTCCTGGTTTCTACTGTGCTGGGGGGTCTTCATCACCAATTCAGAATGAAGTAGAAGAAGGCTTTTATTCCTTGGTAGGAGCAGCCAGGCCAGAGCCATGTCCTTTAGGCACTTTTCAGCCGGTAGGAAGTAATAAATACATTTAATCTGACGGTGCCAATCTGAAGTTGTGACTCATATTTTACCTAAAAAAAATAAAATAAAAATAACTTCCCAGCGTCGAGGTGCAGGTTCATGTGTGGCATGTCAGGGAGGCAGGCTGTGCAATCGAACAGGCTTGTCCCATCCACCAGTCTGCCCCACAGGACACTACTGTCCTCCTGGTTCCTCTGCTGCACGGCCCTGTCCTTCGGTCAGTATCTTCATGTTTTTTTTTTCTCTTTGTGACGTTTCTGTCTCACTGCTTCGATGTTGCTACAAAAATATAATTTATTTATACGAATTCCTTGTTTGCCTGATAATTACAAATGCTACTGTGTGAATGAGTAGAGATGAGAACGCTTAATGCTCCAAACAGTCTCGGCTCACTTAGAGCGTTAAGAAATCTGATCAGCATAAACCTTCCTACACTTTTGCTACCTCTGCACTGCTATTATGTCATGCAATAACTAGTTTTTTTTTGGGCAATCTAAAATGTACCATTGGGTTCATCAACTTTATCAATAACGCTGACATTCTGAATGCAGTTTGTGCAAATGATGGTGAATAATTTTTCCAGGGCACTTACTCTGACCAGCTAAGTGGTGAGGATGTGAAGCATTGTCGACCATGTGAAGCAGGTTCATTCTGCAGCAGAGCCAGCCTCTCCAAGCCTCAGGGTCTCTGTGACCCGGGTCACTACTGCACTTCTGGAGCCACCACAAGCTCCCCTGTAAGTTCTGGTAAAACATCCAAAACGATTCGGATGTGCGCTTTTAAATCGAATCGTATGTGTCGACTTGGAAAAGTATTTCATGACAGAAATTCAGCTATTCTGTGAAGACATCAGAGGTTTCACTGAGAACATCAAGACTTTTTTGATTTAAAGCAAAGTTAAATTAAGAACCAATATGTAAAGCTTTAAGTTCTTTAAATTGTTTCCAAAAATTGTAATGTTATGGGGTAACCACACATACATCCACATATGGCTCTCTATTTAAGATGGCAAGAGGAATCGGTCAAAGAAGCAGCAAAACACCTATGGTTTGCTCTAGAAGAACTGCACAGATCGTGGCTCTGGAAGAATAATTTCTGAACATGATAGCTGTTGAGTGAAAGCACAAGAAACCCTGTTTGTAGTTTTCTACAAAAAATATAGCAGACACAAATCAGGCCCTAAAGAAGTGGGTCAGATGGTTTAATCCAAAATATCAGAAGGGATGAATTCACTTGCTTCACTTCAAGCAGTTAAAAATCTGCTTGATTTTTAACTGTTTGATTTTAAAATGAATCTTGAATGTTTTCAAGATTCATTTCGCCCCCTTTACAAATATATGCCACACTGTGTTAGCTTGTACATTTACCCAAAGAAAATGCTTCAAACGTTTTGGTGTCTTGAGTTGTACCTGCTCTTTCCGTCTTGTGGGTAAAAATGTTTGACAAGCAGTCTGCCAGGTGCATGTTTGTGCTTGTAAATCATTTTTTGCTCGAGTCGGGCAATTTGTCAGCATGGTGCCACGTATGAGCGGGGGAGGGACCGGAGGAAGGGAGAAGCAGGATAATTAAAGAGGGAGAAATGTCCTGATTTTGTGCGTTTTTTTTTTTTTTTCTTTGTAATGAATCAAGCTGCACACGACTTTCATGTTTAAACGCACTTTTACGCAGTTACTTTCGTGTCAATAGCACAAATACAAACCCAGAGGAATATTTTGTTCCTTTCCATTTGGTAAATAAATAGCGGCAGTTCTTCATTTGGAAAAGCCGTTGATGGTGCGTAGGAAATGAGTGACAGGCACCAGCCTCGACTGCCCACATGTCTTACTTTAAAGAACATTTGAGATGAAGCCAACGTCATGTTTTTGACGTCCAAGAATATTTATCTGAACAAAAAGTTTCGTTTGACACCCTGAGGACACCTAGTGCTCTTCAGCTTTGTTTGCTGCAAATTAGGAGAGAAATTAACGTTATTTAAGAAGTAGACTGATATTTGTCTTAATTCCTACAGGTAGCTGTTGCTACTGGTGACGTATGTCCTGCAGGATACTTCTGTCTGCGGGGGACAAAGTTCCCGCAGCAGCATCCCTGTCCTGTAGGGACATGGAGTATCTCAGTGGGAGGCCAGAACCTGTCCTCCTGTTGGGCCTGCCCACCCGGATTCTACTGCAACAACACTGGACTCAGTCAGCCGTCAGGATTATGCGACACAGGTGTTTCTTTGTCGATCAGTGATGCGTCCAGTTCCAAAAAGATTACAGTGTTTTGAAAATGAAAGATGCATCAACCACGCTGAATCATTTTGATCAGTTTTGTTATAATTACTGGTGTAAATGTTGCTTGATCTTATTTATAGGTTATTACTGTTCAGGAGGAGCAAAGTTTTCAAAGCCATCTGATGGTTTAACTGGGGACATTTGTCCAGCTGGACACTATTGTCCCTTAGGGTCAGCTTTTCCAATCCCTTGCCCTGATGGGACTTACTCAAACAGTACAGGTATAACACACATTCCTGAAAAAGCAGCTTACTGGGCATCAGAGATATACTCAAAAACATACATCTCTTTGTCTTCTTGACTAAAGGGTCAGAAATGTGTGATGAGTGTCCATCGGGGACATATTGTCTGTCTGGAGAAGGCGTCCAGCCATGTCCAGTGGGTCACTACTGTCTTGGTGGGGGGGTGGAAGGCATCTTGCCTTGCCCGCCTGGCACATTCAGCCCTCGGTTTGGTCTTCGTCGGGTAGAGCAGTGCCTCGTTTGTCCAGCAGGTGGGAGTGTTGTTACATCATTTTTAGCACTCATTGGTATTCTGCACATAAGAAGTGCTGCTGAAATGGATTTTAATTTATTAAGCTGTAATTTATTTACTGGAGGGATTGAAACTAATTGATAAAAATTAAAGGCAATAATTCAAAGTTTAACTGTATTTAATGAACTAAATGAGAAATATATTATGATGATGTGATGAAGGGTTTGCTACGAACACTTTTCATGCATTACAGCAACTTCATCAATGGTTTCTGCAGGTTTCTTTTGTGATGACTGGGGCCTGTTTGAACCTACTGGACTCTGTCAGTCTGGGTACTACTGCATAGCAGGTACAATGCATGCCTCAAAAAAAGTATTCAACCACAATCTGATGGGATTGTGTAGTGAAATTTCATGGTAAATGGAAAGAATAAATACAAATCTGGAAAGTGTGGCCTGCATTTATTTCATTTCCCTGCTTACTCATCTGTTTTTACACAACAGCTAAATCTCAGTTCTACTGGATGGACAGAGTGATTTTGATCAAGTATTTCCCACCTAGAATCCCAACATAACATAGTAAAACTTTTGGTTACAAAATGTGAAACGCCTCAGCAGTTTGACAGCATAGCTAGATGCTAACAATTATTTATTACTCAAACTAAAAGGCCTGTTTCTGTACAAACACTGTTGTGACAAACCACCGAGTACACCTCACTGAAATGCTCGTCTTTGCCAGGTGTGAACTTTGAGAATCCCGATGGGAACTTCAGCACGGGAATCGGAGGAGCATGTCCGCAGGGAAGCTATTGTCCCGAGGGCACCAGTCTTCCTCTGCCCTGTCCACCTGGCACTTACTCTGACAGGTTTCATTGAACTGAATAGTAAAAATTAATACTTCTTTTTTTACTGACTTTAGATAGTTTACACTGACGGTCTTGACATTTTCTCCGCTTGCAGACTTTATCTGACAGAAGCCTCTGGCTGCAGTCCATGTCCAGCAGGTCAATACTGTGGCACCACAGGACTCACTCGTCCATCTGGTCTGTGTCAGGCAGGATCCTATTGTCCAGGTGGAGACACAGCAAGCACAGGTAGGAAGTAGGAATACTGATGTCTCTGAGTTTCTTTTTATTTTTATTTTTTATCATGTCTTCTTGTCTGATCAGTGAGGAAGGAAGAACGTGTCTTTCTCACATTTGAGCTTGGAAACATGAAGGATTAAAATCACACATTTTGGATTAAATGAATCATTAGAATAGAAATATCTTAAATGACCATCATTTAGGGGAGAAACACACGCAACTCAAATGTGTGAGGGTGAACAAGTGATTACAATCTTGAAACTATAAGCAGATTCATCACATTACAGGCTCGAAGCAGTGATCATTTCAGCATCCTTCCATCACGTCTAATTTAATTTTCCTCTTCAGGCTCTGAAGGAGGACTTTGTCCATCAAGTCATTATTGTCCTGAGGGGAGCTTCAGCCCAGTGGCATGCCCAGCTGGAACCTACAGCAACCTCACAGGTCAGGCGGCGTGTTCGCGCTGCCCGGCAGGATATTACTGCCCGGAAAAGACTGACAACTTCTCCAAGTTCCCCTGTCCCCCTGGGTTCTACTGTCCTGATGGTACTGTCATCCAAAAGGCTTATCAGTCATATACATCTTGAGAAACGGCCGGAATAGCAGGCGGAGATATTTTTAGCACTTCTGTATGGTGTTTGCTTCAGTAAACCTCCCTCCTCAGCTTTGTTGCTTTGTAAATATCCGAATGAAATGAATGATTTCTTTTAATTTTTGTTTTTGCTAAATGTAAAGGAACTAAGCATGCCACCCAGTTTCCTTGTCCTCGTGGATACTACAACCCAGAGCCCATGACTCAGAGTCTGGACAGCTGCCTGCCTTGTCCTCCAGGACACTACTGTGAGAAGGAGCGGCTGACCAAAGTGTCTGGAAAATGCAAGGCTGGTGAGTAATGGTGTCTTTGTTCATTTCTTCCGAGCTCACAGTCACGCAGCCTAGTTTCCCGGTGTCAGGACTTTGTCCTCTGCGCCAGCCTGTTTTGGCTTCAGGGCCGGGCCGACCTGTCCGAAGCAGCCTTTAAGACTTTGAAGAAGACAACGAAGGCTGCGCATGAAGCATGAAACACCGCAACCCAACAGAGGCAGCGTCTCAGCTGCAACAAAAGCTTTTGAATAATTTTTGACGTATCATTTATTCATGCACAAAGATGCACAGGAGAATGGCCCTGTCCTCAGTCATATATTACCCACATCTCTAAGGTTGGAGCTTGAAGTACGCCTGTCTGGTTTATTAAGTCGTCTCCTTTCTCAGCAGTGACTCATCCTTCCCACCTTGCCCTGTGCTGCTTCCTTTCCTGCAACATTGGATTTCATGTTTTAACCCACGCTGAGAAAGTCGTCACATGACGCCTGATTTGTGTCGTTTTGTGCTTTTTGTTCCTCTCAGGTTGGTTCTGTGTGTCCGCAGCGTGGAACTCGCAGCCCTTTGACCTTGATAATTACACAAATGCCAACTGCCTGTGCCCAGCTACATCCACGGGGGGGCGCTGTCAAGTTGGCTTTTACTGTCCTCTGGGAAGCTCTGAGCCTGTACCCTGTCCTCCGGGAACCTTCTGCAATAAATCAGGTATTTAGATTCTAAAACCCATAACAGCTTTTAAACTGTGTGCGGACTGACTGATTTCTAATACATTTATGTCCCTATATGCTTTGAAAAAGTATTCCTACCGCTTCAAATCTTTTCACATCTTGTCATTTTGTAGTCTCAGACTTTAGGGCATTTTATTGGAGTAAAAAGATTGGGATCTCTGTCCTACTGAAAAGTGAACTTTGACTCTATTCTCAAGACTTTTGCAGCCTGTTAAAGGTTTCCTTTCAGTGTTTGATGATTTTTTTTTTAGCTTTGTTGATCTTCCCATCATCATAAGGCATCCTTCTACACCATGATGCCACCACCATTGGTTATCGTAGGGATGGCATTTGCAGGCCGACTATTAGACATGGGCTGTTACTTTCCTCCCTCCCTGATCCTCTACCTTCTGTTAAGTGTCTAAACAATTTACTGACTATCTAATATTCTGTTAAAGCTTGCTTCTGTTGTATATTTTTATGACTGAAAGTGCACCTAAGACCTCTTACTACTTGAGAAAGACCATTTTGTAAAAGGGAGTATTAATCTCAATGGTGGTTTTCTGGTTACTTGAAGGTGAGAATAACAGTTTTAAATAAAATAAACTTTTTTGTGAAGTGCAAAAATGTCATGTAAACAGATTGCTCCACAAGAAAACTTTCGCAGTTTCGGTTGTTCAGAGAGAATCTGACAACCTACAAGCTACCACGAGCTTCAATAAACTCTCTACTACACCTTCTCTTTCAGCTGTTGTTAGCATAGTAGTTGCTGCACTATTGTATCCTCCTCAGCTCAGCTCCTTCAAAGTTCTGTGACACCTGGGAGGATTATCTGATTAATGTTGTCTCTGCCGGGTCTGTCAGTAAACCTGATATCTTGGTAGGTTTGCAGATGCGGAGTGGAGCAGTGCACTGTAAGACTTTTTTTCACCTCTGACGCCTTAACACGACAGCTCTATTTATATGGCCAGACTGTCTTTTCTAACTAGTCAATATGTTTCTCTGGAACTCACAACACACTCACATCGCATTAAAAGTCTTGCTTTTAACAGTAAAATGTGAATTTATGACAAATGCGGTAATTATTTCATTGTGCGATACAGTTTTAAATAAATCTAGCTGCAGTGGTATGTCATCTCCTCTTCACCAACACCCTGCTCTCTCTAATTTTTAAGGAAAATCTTACAGCATTCTTCCTTGGTGTCGGATTCCAGCTGTTCAGCAGTGCAAGACTTCCTTTGTTGTTGTTTTTCATTTCAAAGAGCTTTCCATTGGTGGCAGCTCTGGACCTCAGGCATGCCAGTTTTACACATAGTTCCAACAAAGTTGCATCTTAAAGCTTTAACACATTAGCAAACTGCATATCTCCTCTTGCCTGCCTCATGCTTTCTGCTTTAAGCTCTTTGTTTTCATCGAGCAGAACGGCCATTCACACACAAGTTTGTGCATAAAAATCTCTTCCAGAGCTGTGGCTTTTCTGTAACTTTATTTTATTGAAATACTTTTATAAATAGATCAACTATTTTTTTTTTTTGTAATGTTTTTATGGAGTTTAAGACATCTGTATTTTTTTTTTCTCCAGAAGTTGTACTTTACTCCTCTACCTGCAGACCTGTGTTGTTTAGGGATATGAGCATAATGTGGAATTTCTTTATTTTTATTCAAGCAAAGTTTTCTGACTTGGCATTGCATGGGTGCCTGAATTTGTTGCTCTGGAACATAAATAAATCAGCTTCAGTGATGCCTTCATGGCTGTGGCATTAGGCCATGCCCTGTGCACAAATGCATCAACATGCATCATTGATTCTTGAGCAGAGTGCTGATAAGAAGTTTAATGACCCCCCCCACACACACTCTGGGCTACAAAACATGCCTCTAAGTAATGGCTTACATTTTGATAGATCAGACTTCTGGATAGTTTCTCACTTCATCTTATTCCAGCTAAAATGAGAAAGTGAGAAAGAGGTGGCAACAGTGATGAATCTTTGTCATATTATTTTAATGGAAGGTTTTCACTGATTGAGCAACTTGTTTTTCACCTAGTTAGTTAACTCATTTTTACATTAAAGACAAACGGGTAATGATCAGAAATTAGAGATATGCTGACACTTGAACTGTCTTACTTAGGTTATGGTACTCAAGTGGTACTCCTGTAGTTGCACACAGGAAATTGTAAAATCTAGTTTTTACATGTAAACACGGTGATAAATAACGGCCAAAATGAGTTGTTGTTGAAGTAAGCAGTTTTTGTCTTGACACAGAAGCTATAAAGAGAGCTTCGCTGTGGAAGCAGACAACAACAATACAAGTATTAGGTTCTTTATTTACCTCTGAAATTAGGATGTGCATCTAGCAATGATGCTAGACTAAACTTAACCAATATCCATTTGCAAATTGCAAAGACAGCAGGATGCACTAATTGCTGTGCCCGGTGACAAGCCAACCTCTGCAGTACTGGCTAATAGCAGTGTATTATTTTGTGTGTGTGTGTTATGTATTTAAGCACAAACTGAACATGTTCACATGTATACTTTATATAGTACTGTGTGTGAAAATGATTTAATGACCAAAACACCGTCAAATATCTTTAAAAGCATCGTCCTAATTAGATGTGAAGGTTAGGACGAGTGAAAAAAGTTTTTAATTTTACCTTTTTGCATTTTAACCTCAGGGCATCTCCTGTCTAATTTAGGACATTTTAAAACGCTACTTCTGCATAAAACTTGAATGCACAATTAAACCACATCATTCAGAACCTGCAGCATCGGTGGTTAAAGCAACAATTCTTCAGACTTTTGTTGTCGGTTAAGTAAAAGCCACGACACACTGGCATTTTCAAGTCATGTTAAGTTACCATTTTAAAGGTACAGTAGTTAAAAATACGGTTTTTGCATGTTTCTGAAAACTGTCTCCCTGGTTAATATAACTCTTTGATTAGGATTGAAACATATTTCAGTTTTGCTAATTTTTCTTTTAACTAAGGCCACATCATTCCATTCATTTTGTTTTTATTGTCAGTATTTAAAAAAAAAAACTGAAATGATGCGTCATTTCAAAATGAGCTGGTTGCATTACGTAAAAAAAACAAAACAAAAAACAACAACAAAAACAATGTTTTCATGTTATCCAAAAAGGTTTAGCTTTGCCAGTGGGGCCGTGCTCTCCCGGGTATTACTGTGTTCAAGGAGCCACTGAGAGCAGACCAACCGATGGGATAACAGGCAACATCTGCCCTCCTGGGACGTTCTGCGGTGAGACCCACATGAGCAAGCTAAAAACTATGTGAAATTAAAGTGCGGTAGTAGGAGAATAGATCTATAGTGCATTGTAACATCCATTTAACGAGGTGTTGAACAAGGACAATGATAAATTTGTATTGCAACAACCATTCTAAATAGTAATGGACCACCCAGGCCAGAAAGATAACACTTTCTTTTTATTGATAAAAATCAGTGTTACATTCCTAAATAAGGAGTGCAGCCTGGGTGGACACACTGAAATGCATAGCTTTTATAAATTGTTCTTTGTAGCCAAATAGAACAGAGACCAATAGGGTACTTCTGAGGTATTGTTTTTTATTATTATTATTATTTTTATCTTGATTTTATCTTTCCACTTTCACTTCTCGAAAGAGAAAGTGGAAAATAAATTGGATGGACTGTAGACCTGAAACAACCCAACAGATTTGGGTAGATAAAACTCTTAAAATTACCTGTCTGTGTCTGTGTGACTCGGTTCTTTTCATTGTGTGGTGGCTTGCTCATAAAATGCCAAACCATACGGAGTTTTGCCCATACATTCAGCCAAGTTTATTCAGCTATAAATTATCTGGCCCTCTTCATTACCCTGCAGTGGCAATTGATGCGCAAGTAAGATGAATGAATAGAAGAATGACTGATGACTTCTTGACCTCTTTCTTTGTCTAGCGGAAGGATCAGGACAGCCAGAGTTGTGTCCACCTGGACGCTTCTCCTCTGTGTCTGGTCTGACTAATGAGGCTAGCTGTCAGCCATGTACGGCCGGATTCTACTGTGGAGAAGCGGGACTTAGGACTCCTACTGGACCTTGCAGCCAAGGTCAATCCACACTCTTGTTTCATGAGTTTATTGTTGTAAAAAAAAAAAAAGTTTCAGTTTTTTTTTTTTGTTGTTGTTAAAACTCTCATGTTTTACTTTGATATTTTGACTGTGCTCTATTTAACACTTTAGGATATTGGTGTCCTCCTGGTCAGAGTGTTGCAACAGCTCTGCCGTGTCCTTCTGGTCATTTCTGCTTAGAGGGGAGTTTAGCTCCAGAGCCCTGTCCTTCAGGAACATACCAGGACAGAGACAAACAGGGATCATGCATCATCTGTGACGCTGGTGAGCGGGACTAAAACTCTTTTTAATCTGAACAAGTTTTATGAATGTTTTTGTCAGGATCGTGAGTTGGTTTGATTATTTAATTCTAGTGTTGGTCTCTTTTTTGAATAGATCCGTCTTGTTTATATTTTACTTTAATTCAGTCCTTCCTGAGTGATTATACTTCAGTGGGTTCATTTCTGGTGTCTCGTTATTCTTTATTACTCTAGTTTAATTCTGTTTCTTAAGTGTAGTTATTTATTATTATTGGATTCATTTCCTAGTCCCTTTTATACTCTCACTCAACCCCCTGTGTCATTTTCTTTCTCTCTGCTCAGCCTGCTGCTCTCTCCTTTCACCCCTTCCACCCATTAGCTCATCATTGCAGGTTTTTTATTCCAGCATTCACACTCACAGTATTTAAACCCTTCTTTTGCTCACACTCCTTGCTGGTCGTTCCTGTTATATCCTGTTATTCTCCCCGTTTCTTCCCTGTGTTCCTTTGCTTTCTTATCCCTTGGATTTATGGTTTTTGTTCTGCTTTGGCTCCCTGTGCCCCCTGTGAGTTTTTGTGTTTTTTTAATTTTTCATTAATACGCTCTACATGATCCATGCTCCCAGCTCCTGTCTGCATTTTGGTCCACCCTCAAACTCGCACGTCATGACTGAAGGAAAGAAACCAAGGAACACAAAATAATCAAATTAGAATTAAATAATCAAAACACCAAAACAACTCAAGAGCTTAATAGTTTTGCTGATTTTTAAAAATAGCCATTTAGCCATTTATCACTGTTGTCCAACTAAAATGGCAACTTTCAAAGGTCTACAAATGTATTTGTGAAATCTGATTTGCTTTAAATGCTTAAAAAAAGTTTTTTTTGAGTTTGAATAGATTGTATGCAGTACAGAAAAATGACAGGCAGAGGTACAAAAATTTCCACTCTTCTTATGTACTGACAATTAATCTAAAAATAACCATTTCTCCTCTTTCAAGGGTACTACTGTGACTTGAGACTGGGTCCTGTCAATGCCTCCTCTCCCAGGCCCTGCCCTACAGGGCATTACTGCCCTGCAGGTACAGCCCTGGCCAACCAATACCCCTGCCCCATTGGCTCCTTCAACCCAAGTGAGCGAACAAGCAGCCCAGCAGGGTGCATCCCCTGTCCTGCTGGACACTACTGTCCTTCCATTGGACTGTCAGAGCCAACAGGTGAGGTGGACACGGTTGTCCTGGCAACAATCCAGCTACCGCTGTTTAGATTTATTACGTGTAAAGCCTTTATATGATCTGGTGCATTTTAGTTTCGCCAACAAAACTTTCCACAGCAGTTGAACTGTTGGATTAAAAGTAACTCAATTTGTGTGATTTACTTGTTGAATGAGGTCTCTACAAATCTTTGGAGGGCTGTATGTATGTACTGAATAATAAAATTACTGAAAAAATCTGTTATGTCCTTTCATCCGTAGGACCTTGTCATGCTGGATATTTCTGCAAGCTTGGGGCGTCTTCTCCTTCCCCCCAGGATGGATTCTCAGGCTCCTTGTGCCCACCTGGTCACTTTTGCCCCTCAGGTTATTTCCCAGCCTCTGCTAAAATCAGCTTGTAGCTGTTTATACCCTGCACATTGTTAAAGCGTTGTTGTTTTTTTAATACAATACATATAAACATCCATATGATAAAAGCGCAATGTACACAAATGAATGGAGGAAGACGTTATTACCCTTTTGGCCCATTACACTGTATGGCTGTAATGTATTATTCATGCTAATTACCATTTGGAGGCCATTAGCAAGTTCTGACAACACGCATCTTTCGGCTTCTGCTTTCCTGATGTCTTTGAAATAATTCCAACACATGCCCTCTTTCACTTGGCTGACCCATCTCTTAGAAACGCTGCTGCAGGGCAAACTGATTTGTTGTGAGCAAGCCAGCGCTGCACCCAACACTCGTTCCTTCATAGGAGTGTCTCACTTGTACACTCGCTCTTACGCTTTGACCGTACCGTGCGAAACATTGCCACGCTATATAGTTTTGTCAGACAATGTGCATGCATAATTTCAACGTTATTTTATTTTTTATTTTTTTGTTCAAACTCCTGTTTAATGCAGTTTTTTTTTTACTGTTGTCTTTACAGGCGCCGGATCCCCCAAAGCCTGCCCAGTGGGAAGTTTGTCAAACAGCTCAGGCTTGCATAGACCGGATGATTGTAAAGCGTGTTTGGGGGGATTTTACTGTGACTCTGCTGGCCTCACTAAGCCCAGCGGCTTCTGCAGTAAAGGGTACATCAACTTTTTATTTAGTTTGAGTCAAAGCCATTCAAGCCATCTGGTAATCAAACCGATTTTGTTTTGCCGCGTTTCTTACGTAGATATTACTGCATAGAGGGTGCTGTCACATCAACCCCCAGTGATGGGATTTCAGGAGGACCCTGTCCTGAGGGTCACTACTGCCCCGAGGGAACTGTTGAACCTTTGCCCTGCAATCCAGGGACTTATGTGGCTGTAACACATGCGATTCAGTGTGAGCTTTGTCTCCCAGGCTGGTTTTGTGTGTCTGGCTCTCTGTACCTCTGTCCTGAAGGTTTGTTGTTTGTCCTTTTGTTTGCTTGTTTTTCATAAACCTAAATTGAAAAAAAAAAACAATCTTATCCATTAAATTATACCATGACATTGGTGCCAAATACAGACACAAAAAAGCATAGAAATATATCAAAATATTTTTAATCTTTTCATATTTCTCCATTTCCATGATTTCTGTTTTTGTCCTGTAGGATTTTATTGTCCTGAAGGGACGGGATTTGCCCTGAGAAGTTGTCCAGAAGGAACCTACGGTCCAGATCCTGGTTATTGGTCTGTCTCCCAGTGCAGACAATGCGACGGAGGCCATTACTGTTCTTCCAGAAATGCCACAGCTGTCACTGGACCGTGCCAGGAAGGATATTACTGTTCACATGGAAACGTCTCTCCACAGCCTCTTTCACAGGCTGCAGGTAAACAAATGTCTTTACACAAATGCTCTGCAAAATCACACATTTACTGTAACTGATCCCAGATGTTGTTTTGCTAATGTCTTTGTCAATTTGGTAGTGATTATCTATTAGTGCTCTGTTTGAGACATGTCTCTTGCCAGAAGGAGGACCTTGTCCTGTTGGACACTACTGTCCTCAGGCCACCATCCATCCTCAGCCCTGTCCACCTGGAACATTCTCCAACATCACCAGAGTGGCCTCCGAGGTTACGTTCACTCTGCATGTGATTCTCTTGTCCTCTTTGCAATGACAAAGCTTTCATTACTTTTACAAAAAATAAGAGGCACAGAGGCAAAAAGTAAAAGTTTTAGACCCAAATCAAAACATAGCAGCATCATACTATGTGAAAACCTTTCTTTAGCTTTTCTTCAGCTTTTACTTAAAAGCACACCTAGATTTTCTTCCACTTTATAACTACTGTATTTTTCGGACTAGAAGCCACTACTTTTTTCCCCACGTTTTGAACCAAGCGGCTTACAGACCGGTGCGGCTTTTCTGTGGATTTTTCTTCCACCACCAGGGGGCTCTTTAGCAGGAAGTGAATCATTGGAGGTCAAAATTGAAAATCAAGGAAGAAAGCGCTAATTTTCATTTACAACAAGCACATGCTAGCAGCAGGCATGACGGAGAAATTAGAAACTACAGAAGAAGTTCATATGATGCAGCTTTTAAGTTGAGGGCTGGGTCCTTATGGGAAACCGAGAGCGGCGAAGATACCAGCAGCTTATATGCGTTTCCATTTTTTTCCCTTAAAAGTATATATGGTGCGGAAAATACGGTATTTACAACCTTATTATGTTGATTATAACATGAAGCCTCAATAAAATACATTAAGGCTGCTGGTGCTATGAGTCTAAGCGTTATGAATATTTTCTCAATGCGTTGTATAAAGTTATCAGAAAAGTTACTCCTAGAGTTTTGGTCTGAACTAAAACTGGCTCTTTATCTTCTTATAGGAAGATTGTCAGCCATGTTTCCCAGGTCACTACTGTGACTCAGCGGGGCTCTCGGCACCTTCGGGAAAATGCTGGGAAGGCTTTTTCTGTGTGGAGGGTGCAGATCGTCCTGACCCTCCTCTTAAGGACGACCGTGGAGGTCCATGCCCAAAAGGTGCTCAAGTTCTCTTGGGATATCAGCTTTATTCTTCTTTTTTTTTTTTTAAAGTGGCTAACAGATTAGCCTGGGGAGGAAATGAGCTACTGAGGGAATAATACAAATGTGGTCATAATTAGGTCAGGTCTATATTGTTGCTCAAGCAGGAAACCTCAACACAAAACTATGTTTTTAAGACATTTAACAAGGAGCACATACAGGGATTTCTAAACAAGCGATTGTGTTTTTTATTTGCATAACCTGAAAGGAAGCTCAGCGTACAAGTAAACAACAGCCTCTTTCAAGCTTGGCATGCCAAACAGAAGCAGCTGGTCTGACGGGATCAGAAACCAAACCCTGTTTCTTGTGGATTGTGTGTGTCTCTGTTTCATGGCACTTGTCTGCACTAGCAGGTTATTACTGTTCAGAGGGTTCTGCAGCTCCTCAGCGCTGCCCCCCGGGAACCATCAGCACAGAAGACGGCCAAGCCAGCTGCAGTGTCTGTCCCCAGGGGTATGCTTGCTTATCAAGACTCACACGGTCTCCACGAACTGTAAGCTGACACAGATTTTCACAGGCATACACAGCAGAAGGTGCAGGACCTGTAAATATTCCTGTGGCGCGTGTAAGGAGTCTGCTTTTGATGGTTTTGAACACAAGTCATTTGTAGTTTAGCTGTGTTTTTCCTATTAGTTCTGCGTAACGAACAGGAGCACAGGACAGTCATCACTCATTGCATTCAGCAGACGCCAACAACTAAATTATTATTTTTCCCGTTTTGCCTGGACAGATTTTATTGCCCTGGCAAAAGTACCACATCTCTGCTGGGCAGTTTTGAGTGTCCGCCGGGTCATTACTGCCCGACCGGAACCCGGTCCAAATACCAGTTCCCGTGTCCAGCTGGAAGTTTCAATCCTCGCACTCGGATGACAAAACCCCTGGACTGCCTGCCATGCCCTCCAGGTCACTCATCGTTTACAGCTAATGATTAATTAAAGATTCAGCAGTTGACCCAGGGTCACGTTTTTGTCAATGATCATTACTGTAATTACAAACTCTGCTGTTAAAATAGTCCACTTCAGAGTGGGTTATTAAAATGTCTAGATTTATGTATTTTTGGCCGTAGGTTCACAACGCTTTTTATTTTATTCCAGGATATATTTCCAGCGGCATAGAAATGATATTTTGGCTTCTCTTATTTTTTCTTCCAAACAGGCTCATTCTGTGCGACTCCTGGCAAAGACGTCGCATCCGGCCTGTGTGATGCAGGTTACTACTGTGTCTCTGGTGCTCGTTCGCCCACACCAGAGGACGGAGGGATGACGGGTGATAGATGTCCTGAAGGACATTACTGCTCTCAAGGCTCCTCGGCTCCGCTTCCCTGTCCTGCAGGGCATTACAGCAACAAGAGCAGAAACAGTCATATCTCTGACTGCCTACCTTGTCCTCCAGGTCGGAACTAATTTGAATTATTTGGCAGTAATCCTAAGAAGCTGCGTCAGTGGCTGCCTAACAAATGTTTCTGTTTTGTAGGTTTTCTGTGTGTCAGCAGAGGGCTCTCTTTCCCTCCCCATGTCTGTCCAGCAGGCTTTTACTGTCCAGGCACAGAAAACGGCAGCCTGCAGAACTCTATGACCTGCTCACCAGGAAGCGAGTGCCCACCTGGATCTGATAGACAGGTGCCCTGTTTGCCTGGGACATATCAGAATTTGCCGGGTCAGGTGAGGAGGAAAATGTTTTTAGGTTTTTTTGCCATATTTCAGAATGAAAAACAACTTAACAGCATGCGTTAAATAATCTAAAGCCCAGAAAATCATAATAAGCATATTAAGTGGATGTACATTCAATAGTTTTCTTCTATATTACTTCTTTACAGGCAGACTGTATTGAATGTCCTGCAGGATTTTTCTGTCCTGGCATGGTCAGCGCAGACGTTGACCAGGTGACTGGAACTTCCACTCCTGTTCCTTGTCCTAAAGGACATTACTGCCCACCTGGTGAGCTACGGTGCATGGGATATGACAACACATTCATGACAAATGTACAGCCTCACTGCATTGCAACGTCACCGATAAATGTGACACAGGTTGTGTCGCGTTCGACCTCGGTGAGATTGCTTGTCTGAATACCGCAGAGTGCTTTGCTGAACTTGTTTTATTTGCACTCCTCAATGAATGACTGTGGCGCTGAACTGCTTTCCAATTATGCAAATGGTTATTACGGAGCATAATTCGGATAGGCACGGTCATCATGAAACGTTCTTTGATGTTCAGCCCTCAGCCATCTGTAGATTCAATACATGTTTATCTACAGGAACCCAGACTGGTGTGGCGTTCCCATGCCCAGCTGGCACTTTCAGCAGCCAGATGGGATTGTCCAATAAGTTCGATTGTGAGCCCTGCCCCCCTGGGAGATATTGCAGTTCTTCAGGCCTGGCTACTCCCTCAGGGTTCTGCTCTCCTGGGTAAATAAACACTCTGATGTTTGCAGAAAGATTGAAAGCTCTCTCTGTTTGATTCGATCTTGCTTCTCCATTGTTTGTCCACATATTACCTCAGTTTAGCTCTGCTGTAATGACCTCTCTCTCCTTAGTTACCTCTGTGTCCAAGGTTCTCTTTCGGCCCAGCCAGAGGAGGGTCCAACAGGACGGCGGTGCTCTGCAGGGTCCTACTGCCCACAGAGCACAAGCTACATGGTTCCTTGCCCTGCAGGCACCTTTAGCTCCATAGATGGTGACAGTAAACCTTCATAAAAAAAAAAAGCTGATACATTACATACATAATTATGAAAAATAAATAGTCAACTATGGCACTCCAAACAGTCATTGCATTAAAAATTGTTTAGCCTGTCAGTTCATATATCTAAGTAAAAAGGAAAAACTATTGGTAAAAAGAAGAATCATTGAACTACAGAGATGTATTTAAATTCTGAAGAAAAATGAATTGTATAAAAAATTCATAATGCTTTAATAAAATTATTTTGAAAAAAGTAACTTATGTTTATCTAATATCTCACTGAGGGAAAAAACCACATGACAGATTTAAGTCATTTGAGGTACTCTTCATCAAATGCCCCAATAGAAATATGATTTTTAATAAAAAGTTAGTTATATTAATTTGATAACTCGCCGAAAACCAAATTCAATTTGGTACATTGAATACAGTAAAAATAAATAAGAAATAATTACTGATTGATGGAAAAAAACAATAACCTGAATGAAGACTTTTAAATATTTTGTTGCCTGATCTATTGTGTGTTTTTTAAAATGATTCAAATGCCACTTGCTTTTTTTTCCCCCACAATGGGACAAATTTTTGTACTGAAAGCAAGAAGCCTGGATATATTTGAGATTACAGCATCATACCATACCTTATTTCTTCTTTCAATCACTAGTTTTCTTGTCTTGTTCAATATTAGGTGCAGTGTCTATAGAGGCATGTCAGCCCTGTTTGCCTGGCCACTACTGCGCTAAGCCTGGAGCATCTTCCCCGTCTGGACCGTGCAATCCTGGTTTCTACTGCAGAGAGGGATCACAAGCTGCATCGCCTTTGAGAAATATGACTGGTAGCATTTCATTCACGACTTGACCTGTAAATAATGTTAATAAATGCATTGCAACTTTCTGAGCAGGGCTTTTGTAAAACACCTTCAAAGCGAAATTTCAAATTACGTAAAAGAAATTGACATTTTTTGGTATTTCTCTTGCACCTTTAAGATTTTTCTCATAATCTTAATAGTTTTAGTAGGTTTTTTTTTTCTTATTTCTTTTTTTTTTACAAAGGTTGGTAAATATTTTAGTCTGTTGGATAACTTGCTAACAAAGCCAGTAAAGGCATCCAATAAAGTTGTACTGTCTGTTCCAGGTGAAGTGAAATCTTCAGCCAGATTTGATGGCGATTCAGTCCATGGGGACGTGTGTCCTGCGGGACACTACTGTCCAAAAGGCAGCGCAAAGCCAAGCCCTTGTCCTCCAGGTAGAAAGACTGGATGAACAGACAGAGCTGATGAGGAAAAAATATTAACATTTAAAGTCAGCCGCTTACATAAAGGAACTAGTGTACTAGGTCAAAAATCTTACCAAATACTTTTGATCTAGTTTAGTCTGGTGCAAATATCTTACAGCACTTGAAATAAGACGGAAATAACTTACAAGTGACATTTCAGCAAGAAATGGGAGCCTGTTTTAAGTCAGTAATTTCTTAATATTGATGAAAAGTATTAATTTAATTGGCAGAATCACTTATAACATGGGGGAAAATGTCTTGATATAAGTGAAACAATCTGCCAATTGAACTAAGCCTTTTTTTAAGCATTTAAAGCAATATTTCACTTTTTTTTAAAAATCACCCGAAGTTGTTTTTTTAAAAGACAACTTTCTTTTAAACTTGAAATCTGCTGCTGGGTTTTTTTACCAGCTCAAATCTAAGAGAGAGATTTTATAGTCTGATGAGTCAAGAATGTTGTCATTGGGCTTAAGTGACAAAATATTCATGTAAAAAGACACTGCACCACTGAACATGATACTGCTTCATATTGATTTATTTTATTTTAATTTGCTCAAGAGGTATTGGTGGAAAGTAGATGGAATGAAGGTGAAGGATGAAATCACCTCTAATTATTCAAGTTCACCTCAAATCAACAGGTGGCAAGTTTTAGACAAAATAAATTTCACCTCTGCAGGACAAGGATTTAAAACACGAACTAGTTTTTAGACCGACATTAATCATCAGGAGCTTTTTATAACATTTATGATTACACTGCGTGTTCATGAACTCCTGACAAGACCTGTGGGTGTTTTATCTTTTGCTAAGACTGCGTTGTTGACGAGGCTCCCACAGAAACGGTTTGTCACGCCCCCACATGAGCAATGCTCCTGACCTCACACATTTCTTCAATAGGTACGGCGAAGGGCTATAATTCCCCCAGGAGGAATGTGTGATAGGTTAATATATCTACAACATTATGGAGAGATGTAAAACCTAATGGGAGTCCAAATAAAGTTGTCAGAATGGTCAGATAGGTACTTAATTAGGTGAATAAATGGAGCAGTGGAGCACATATGGCAATTATCCCATACCCTTTCAAGTCTGCATAGATATATGTGTGCATGTGACAAAAGGGAGCAGGACTGTGAATCATTTTTGCATGTAGGGGTCATTTATCTTCTCTGAATAGGTACTTTCTTGGGGAGGACTGCTGCTCACTCCGAGGACGATTGTGAAGCTTGCCAGCGAGGGTTCTACTGCCCGTCATGGGCTCAGACGTCGGTGGACCTCATCTGTCCCCCGGGATGGTTCTGTCCAACAGGATCGCCGTCTGGACATCAGCCAGGTGTAATTCACAACATCGTACAAATCATATCTACGAAAAAAAAAAAAAATCTCTTCTGTGAGTCGCAGTTTCCAGGCAATTAGAAGGAAATATTCGTAGGAGGCAGTTGTTCAATAAGAGCGTAAAGAATGACTCATGAGCTCCTTTTTGAAATGATTCACGGTGGACGAACTGTATAAAGGAAGCAGTAACCAAACAGAACGAGCTCTAATGTGAAGTAGAGAATATTAGAAAAGCTGTCAAATTTAATAACAGGTAGCATAATTATTGTAGCCATAAATAGCTCATGCTCACTAAACTGATATAGCAGTCAAATTATAAAATATCATAAAACAGTTACTATAATTTAATTAGAAAGAAATTCTGTCCACAATACTTAACATGTGGAGTTGATAACTGGATTCAACCCAATTAGAAAAACAAAAAGGATAGCTGATGTATGTAAAGCTGGACGACTTAAATAATTGATTTAATTTCTTTCTCTTGAATTCAAGCTGATTGCATCCACTTCTCCTGCATGTGCATGTAGTGACAGAGAACTGTAACTTGCGTTGTGATGCTGACTTTGCCTCAATCCTTCATACTGACCATGTTTTCAGTGACAGGATAGAAAGACACCCGTGTTAATAGGAAAACAACCTCCAGCAGAACCAACTGAGGGTTCAGTAAAACAAAGCATGCACACAAAATATAAACACAGAGGCACTGATCAAGTTGTACTTACAAACGGAGCGTAAATTGAAGTAGAAGCTCCTGTAGTGATTTAATCAGAGAGAAACCCAAATAAGCTCTTTTCAGGTTTATGGGTAGGTTATTGCTGATCTCCATATTGCATCTAATGCATAAATGCCATAGAAGTGATTAAATGTCCCAGGTGAACTTCCTGTCTCCTCTTATATTACATGCCAGAGAGACGCCAAACTTCCCTATTATTTCATTTTTTCTGTTGAGGATTAGCTCTGCTTATTGTAGCTAATATTTTCATAATTGCATTGTTTAAATTGTGCTGGACTGCATGAATTAAAAACACTAGATAGTTGCCACATTGTTGGATTAATACATACATACATATATTACAGTATTTTCTGCACTATAAGGCGCACCTAAAAACCTTCAATTTCCTCAAAAGCCGACAGTGCGCCTCATAATCCTGTGCACTTTATTTATATATGGACCAATATTGAGCCACAACAGGTCTAGCAACTACGGTAAGCAGCCGCCGACTTCCTTTTCGCCTGTAGAAGAAGCAGCGCGCGGTGCATGCTGGGATAGTTGTCTGAACGCTAGTTTGTTAATAAAGTTTGACTGACCTATCTACCTACCAACCGTCTATGACAGTGTTTCTCAACCCTGGTCCTCAGCGCCCCCCTGCTCTGCATGTTTTAGATGTGCCTCTATTCCAGAGCAGCTGATTCAAATGATTGCATGACCATCAAGTACTGCAGAAGCCTGATAATCACCCAGAGATACAATTCAGGTGTGTGGCAGAAGGGAAATGCCTAAAACATGCAGGACAGGGGGGCGCTGAGGACCAGGGTTGAGAAACACTGGTCTATGATCAGGTCATTTGCAGGTCATTTAGCACCACGTTCTCCATGAACATGCTGTGCATGAACGGAGAAGGGTGGCCATCGTCCGGCTCTCCTCGCCGACCCGAGTCGGACTGTTTTGTTGACATTCTTTATGTCAACAAAGTGGCTTTAGACATTCATCCGGGGTGCTTCGACTAGGGTTACCAAGGGACCAGCCCCTATACATTTAAAGCCGGGGTGGGGGGGAGACAGAGACTGTGGCGGCACCATATC